AAAAAAAAAAAAAAAAAAAAAAAAAAAAAGTATTTCTCTTATGAAGAAAATGGGTAAGATTTTGTTCATATTAAAAGGCACTAGAAACTTATATTATCCTCATGGTCCCATCATATTGTATTTTCGGCCCATACTTAAGATCCAACACGGCCCAATAAGAAAAGGGGATAGGCCCAATAAGAAAGGGGGAATAGGCCCAAACTATAGCGGCCGACTTGAGGGGCCCGGCCCAACCGTCGTCTCCAAAATCTTCTTCTTCTCTCTGTTTACCAGTGTTGAAGGAGTTTTGGGCGGTAAGGAAGATTGGACGGCGCGTCGAGCTGTTGTTCCTCAACGACAACTACGAATCAGAGGTGTGTTTCTCGAGAGCTACGTTTTTCTTTCAATTTCGAAATTGTAAGATTACTCGGTTGGAATGGTTTTCTGTGAACTTATCATAATTCCAGTTTTTGGTGGGTTAATTTTAGAGTCTTAATGTGCGGGACTTAGCTTGATTCCAGTTATTTTCTCATTGTTAGGGCTTTGTTGTTGTTCCCTGAGTTCTTATAACTGATTTTGAAATTCCATTGAATTCTTAACTTATCGTTCGAGTATTTTGATGGAGCAGATGGCAGCAATGAATTGGCCGTAGTTGAATACATGGATGAGATGTATGAGTTTTATAAGCTTGGTTGATTGAAGTTCATCGCAAGTTTGAACTTATGAAGACTGTACCATGGAAGGAACTTCACCTCTATGATCATAGCATGAAAGTATGGAGAGATTTTGGCCTCAGAGGTAAATTATTTGTTTTTTTTCCTTTCTTTCCTTCACATGTGTACTGTCCTTGAAAAACTCTTTTGAAAGCAAAACATTGAGACGTTTTCGCACACTGTGACATATGTGCCACATAGTAGCTAGTTTAGGTTATAGGGCTCAAGAGTGGTGGAGAACTAACATCATACCTCACACTATACTACATTTTGAGATATGTTTTTAGACATTTTGAATCCTTCTTAGATGTTATTTTAGTGAGCAGACATACAATTTTGTGCATAGTCTATCGAGTATTTGATTGACATCAAACTTGGTGAGCTTTCATCTTTCATATAGACGGATTTAATTCTCAAGCAGCATGTCAAAACTCATCGAAATCCTGATTTCTAAGGTTATGGCCCGGGGCTCTACTCGACCTTCTTCGAGTTTGTCTTTGATACTCATGTCACCTTGTTGTCTCGAACCTTACATATGCATATGCTCACTTAGCTTGAATGCACTCTCTTTGCATATGCCTTAGGTGTTAACCTCGAAAGTCGGAGTTCCATAGAGAATTTGACGAGCTTTCATATTTCATAAAATCCCATGCCCAAATTCCCTCTGGAACCCCGGCTTTTGAGGTTAAGGCACGGGGCCCTACTCGGCCCTTCAACAAGTTTATCTACGCTTGTGTCTACTACTCATTGTCCCTATGTTTCTTATGTCTTGTTTTGTCTTGTTTTCTATTCAATGCACACGTTATATGGTGTGTTAGATGTGTTGTCCCTATTTTGCTTCAGTCTCATTTCCTCTTCAATGCACACGTTATATGGTGTGTTGGATGATGTACTGTCTCTGTTGGTCGCATCTTGATACTTTGAACCACATGCCCAAATTCTCTCTGGAACCTCGACTTTCGAGGTTAAGGCCCGGGGCCCTACCCGTCCCTTCAACAAGTATATCTTTGACACCCATGTCTATTACTCGTTGTCTCTACCTCTTTCTATTCAATACACACATTTTACGGTGTGTTGGATGCATTTCCCTATCTTGCTTATGCTTTGTTTTGTTTTCCATATGGTTTGTTGGATGATACATCATCCCTGGACACGTCAAAATCTTCTTTTCATTTACTAGGTAGAATAGTTAAAAGAGTTAAAAGTCAAAAGGACCTAAATTCACTTTGTAACCCCGAATTTTGAGGTTAAGGTTGGGGCCCTACCCGACCCTTCAACAAGATTATCTGTGGCGTTCATGTCTATTACTCGTTGTCCCTATCTTGCTTATGCCTCGTTTTCTATTTATATGGTGCATTGGATGGATTGTCCCTATCTTGGTTATGCTTTGTTTCCTTTTCAATTATATTTCCTTTTCCTTTAGAACAACAGGGGCCCTACTCACCCTTCAGCAAGCGTATCTGTGACACTCATGTCTACTACTCGTTGTCTTTATCTTGTCTCGTTTTCTATCTTGCTCATGCCTCGTTTCTTCTTCAACGCACACATTATATGGTGTGTTGCCCCTTAGTCGCATCATGACATTCTTCTCTATTGGGCATATGTTGAGGGTTACTGTATTGCTTGTCTCTTCATAATATGATTGGATTGTGATGCAATCCCATCAAGTGAGATTGCTTGATGTTGCATATTAGAACTCATTAAAGCATCATTAGGTTCGATAAAACTTGTTCCCATTCAATAGTCAAGAATTCTTGACGGTATTGAGTTGAACAATCTGTTCTTTGAATACATGGATTCAATGCCAAAGAATTTATGTTACCATATAGTATTCATCTCGACTTGGTGATAAATAAAGCATACACTTTTTTTTTGTCTTCACGTGATCGGATGAGCGTCGCTTGAGAGTAATCCCTTGTCTATCTTGCATGTCGGGGTCACGACCTACTTTTCCTCACTCAAATACAACTTACTTTTCCTCACTTAAATACGATTGTAACACTTCAACTGCATGCCCAAATTTCCTTTGGAACAGGCCTGGGCCCTACTCACCCTTCAACAAGCCTATCAAGCCTATCTGTGACGCTCATGTCTCGTTGTCTCTATCTTGCTTATATCTCGTTTTCTATCTTGCTCATGTCTCGTTTAAATACGATTGTAACACTTCAACTGCATGCCCAAATTTCCTTTGGAACCGGCCTGGGCCCTACTCACTCTTCAACAATCTATCAAACCTATCTGTGACGCTCCTGTCTCGTTTTCTATCTTGCTCATACCCTCTTCATCTTTTCAATGTAAATGTTATATGATTTGTTGGATGGTGCATCATCCCCTTTCCATCATGACACTTCAATTGCACGACCAAATTTCCTTTGGAACCGGCCCGAGGCCCTATTCACCCTTCAACAAGCCTATTTGTGATGCTCATGTCTTGTTGTCTCTATCTTGCTCATGTCTTGTTTTCTATCTTGCTCATGCCTCTTCAATGCACACATAATGACATTCTTCTATTGGTCGCGTCATGACATTCTTCTATATTGACACTTCATGTGGCCGCACTCATGTCTCGTTTTCTATCTTGCTCATGCCTCTTCAATGCACACATAATGACACTCTTCTATTGGTCGCGTCATGACATTCTTCTGTATTGACACCTCATGTAGCCGCGGACACTTCTTAAACGTCACTGTTTTGCTTGTCTCTTCATAATATGGTTGTGACGTTAATATGGGTGTATTGGATTGTGATGGTTGTGGCATAATCCCATCGTGGGTTGTGACATTTGCATCGTCCTCCAAGCTTGGTCTTCACGTGATTGGATGTCCCTTGTATATCTTACTAGGTAGAATAGCGATCAAATAGCTTCCTTGATTGTAATAGCTTAACCCATGTTCAAATAGCTTCCTTGATTATAAACCCATGATCAAATAGCTTCCTTGATTATAGCGCACTTTTGATAGTAGCAGACTTGCGACCCGTGATCAAATAGCTTTAGCCCAATCGCACTTTTGATCAATTGTGCTGCACTCACTTTGCACTCACTTTCCAGATTTGCGATTGTGCTGCACTCACTTTCCAATGACAAGTGAGTTAAGCCAATTCGTTCTTGCATCGCCTACGGCCTAGCTTCTAATATATTCAACTCAATTGCTTCTTGATTAAATTGAGTGAACGAAATTCCTATGACTCCAACAAACAAAGTAAATAGGGATAACACAAACATCGGAAATAGCATCGTATTATCTGATTCATAAGGATACGAAAAGGTAGTCTTAGTACAGAAATGGGGAATACTCACAAAAGGACGCATCATTTTTGTTACATTACTGTCCATTTGATATTCTGTTTTTTCCCCCCAAAAAAGAAGACCTTTGATTATTATTCATTGTTAATAGTGATAAGAAAGGAAAGTTTTTTTTTATTATTTTTTATCCTTCTTTACCCCATAATGAATATTGAATAGAGGGAATTATTTGTTTTTCCACTATATTTTTTAAAATAAAGGTTTAAATGTCCCTCAAAAATGCTCTTTCATTAACTCTGCTATAAATAATAAGAAGTTAGTCTACTATATTTTTCTTGATGCTTCTACCATAATAAGCACTTTTGATGGCTTGTGATTGTGCGGCACTCACTTTCCAACGACAAGTGACCTACAGCCTAGCTTCCTTGATTATAACCCATGATCATTCCCTAAATTAGCCCAATCGCACTTTTGATGGCTTGCGATTGTGCGGCACTCACTTTCCAACGACAAGTGACAAGTGAGCTAAGCCAATTCGTTCTTGCATCGCCTACGGCCAAGCGACGTATGCTCGAGCCTTTGGCCTCAATTTTAAGAGTAGAAAATAGAGATTTTTTTAAAGAGACGTTATATAAGCAAGAGACTTTCATCATCCACACCTGTTCTAAGACTATGCGTCTCATTGAGACTTTCTGACATCTCGTACTCAAAGAAACTTTTGAAAAAGGTGGTTTCCATTTTCTGGTCCGAAGACCGTTTTTCTTCCCTAACCCATGATCATTCCCTAAATAAGCCGATGTGAGACTTTCATCATCCAACACCTCCCCTAAGACTTTCTGACAAAGTATGCCTCCTTTTAATCAAGGCTCGACTCCTAGTCTTTTTTTTATTATGCCTTCGAAGAGACTTGATTCCTTTGTTCGATATTTAAGGATTTACCAATCTATTGGCACGACTAAGTTTAGAGTTGATACCATGTTCGATAATTAAGCTGTTAATGATCTCTTTTAGATCGTGAGCTATATAGAGATGCGTCTCATTGAGACTTTCTGACATCTCGTACTCAAAGAAACTTTTGAAAAAGGTGGTTTCCATTTTCTGGTCCGAAGACCGTTTTTCTTCCCTAACCCATGATCATTCCCTAAATAAGCCGATGTGAGACTTTCATCATCCAACACCTCCCCTAAGACTTTCTGACAAAGTATGCCTCCTTTTAATCAAGGCTCGACTCCTAGTCTTTTTTTTATTATGCCTTCGAAGAGACTTGATTCCTTTGTTCGATATTTAAGGATTTACCAATCTATTGGCACGACTAAGTTTAGAGTTGATACCATGTTCGATAATTAAGCTGTTAATGATCTCTTTTAGATCGTGAGCTATATAGAGATGCGTCTCATTGAGACTTTCTGACATCTCGTACTCAAAGAAACTTTTGAAAAAGGTGGTTTCCATTTTCTGGTCCGAAGACCGTTTTTCTTCCCTAACCCATGATCATTCCCTAAATAAGCCGATGTGAGACTTTCATCATCCAACACCTCCCCTAAGACTTTCTGACAAAGTATGCCTCCTTTTAATCAAGGCTCGACTCCTAGTCTTTTTTTTATTATGCCTTCGAAGAGACTTGATTCCTTTGTTCGATATTTAAGGATTTACCAATCTATTGGCACGACTAAGTTTAGAGTTGATACCATGTTCGATAATTAAGCTGTTAATGATCTCTTTTAGATCGTGAGCTATATAGAGATGCGTCTCATTGAGACTTTCTGACATCTCGTACTCAAAGAAACTTTTGAAAAAGGTGGTTTCCATTTTCTGGTCCGAAGACCGTTTTTCTTCCCTAACCCATGATCATTCCCTAAATAAGCCGATGTGGGACTTTCATCATCCAACACCTCCCCTAAGACTTTCTGACAAAGTATGCCTCCTTTTAATCAAGGCTCTTTTTTATTATGCCTTCGAAGAGACTTGGTTCCTTTGTTCGATATTTAAGGATTTACCAATCTATTGGCACGACTAAGTTTAGAGTTGATACCATGTTCGATAATT